CTGGAAGCCTGGCCTGATCCTCATGAGGACTGGAACCTTTGGGATGGTGCTGTCTCACCTAACTGGTTGCCATGGAGACAGGAGGAGGGGTGTGTGTGTGTGTCTGTGTGTGCATGCGCGTGCACGCACACATGCGTGCTAAGATTTATTTCAAATCTGCTACCCAGGTTTGCCCCAGAGATGCCACCAGCGGGTGGGCAGACCAACCCAATACCCTTGAGTGAAGGGAAGGAAAAATCTGTTCTTCACTTTTAAATTTACTTTAATTATGAAAAGCTTTAAGCATACACAAGAGCAATGTGGTACAATGAACCCCAACTACCCATCTCCCGGCTTCAACAACCACCAACTCTCAGCCAGTCTTGTTCCATCTATACCCGTTCTCCTCCTCTTTCATCTCAGATATTTAGAAGCAAAATCCAGACAGAAATCGTTTCTTTTGCAAATGTTTTCGTATATGACTCCAAAAGAGGAGTGGGGTTTACCCCATCATGACCCCTACTAAAACTAACAGTAATGCGTTAATATCAGCAAATATCTACTCAGTGTTCAAAATCTTTGGTTGTTTCATAAATGTTTTCTTTACAGTTGGATAAATTGGGACCCATACAAGTTCCCTCCATTGGGATTGGTTGATGTGTCTCTTACATTTCTCTCAATCTGCAGGTTCTCTCTCCCTCCCTTTTTCTTCCCATGCAATGTCTTTGTTGAGAAGCTGGGTTGGTTTGTCTGTAGAGCGTCCTACAGTCTGGACTTTGCCTATTGCATTACCAGATTGGTATTATGTTCCTCTCCCCCATATATTTCTTGTAAATCAGTAATTAGATCTAGAAGCTACTTAGATTAATGGTGTGAGTGTGTGTGTGTGTGTGTGTGTGCGTGTGCGTGTGTGTGTGTGTTTCCATTTGAAGGCACAGAATGTCTGGTGATGTTAGCAGCATCGATGATCACTGTCTGGGCCCATTAGAGGTTGCAAAATAGTGGCAAATAAATCCTACCCTTCTGTATTTGTGTGTTAGCTGGAATACCTCCATAAAAAGACACTTCCTTTATCAGCTATTTGGTTACTGTAAGGTACAGTTCATACCAGAAAGGAAAAAGACTTGACTCTTTCCTTTTATTTGACAGTTTTCAACATGATGAGTTGGTTTCTCAACATCCCCCAAAGATAACAAATGAGTTTATGCTTTTTTTTCTAGGTATCATTGTGAACTCTTAGATTGGACATATCTAACACATTCCAGTCCAGTGCAGTTACTGTTCTTATTGATGCTCCACTGTCCCATCTGGCCAGCTGTCTTATCACATTGTCCCCTTCATCTTTTCGGACATGATCCAGAGTCTTCCAGAGCTTCCACGCTCCCCGGGTGACAGGACGTTCCAGGCTCCTCTTGCACATGTCCTGCCTCAGACCTGGGATCTCTGTCTCTGCACAGAACCCCGGTTTCTCGTCAGAGGTGGTGCGCAGAGACCCTAATCTGAGTGCTGGCGGTGCTCACTGCGACGGGATTGGTATTTCTAACCCTTTCCATCCATTGGGATTGGTTGATGTGTCTCTTACGTCTCAATCCGCAGGTTCTCTCTCCCTCCCTTTTTCTTCCCATGCAATGTCTTTGCTGACAGAGCTGGGAAACACTTTTATTCTGTCAGGCAGATTACAGCATGGATTCGTCCCGAGCTTCCACTCCAAAGGTGGGGCTGCAGATCCCACTTTGTCCCTGTGGTCTCGCATCCCATCTCCTTTCTTCAGTGGCGGCGTGACAGGGCCTGTTCCTGAAAGCAGAGCTCCTCACCGTGTCTCCATCGAGCAGGACACGTGTGAGAAAGCACCCAAGTCTTCCCTGCCTGCAGGAAGGAACCCGAGCCGTCTGATGGAAGTTACTGAACACCTAGAAACCTCATATCAGATGCAGGCCTGGGGGAAGCCCACGCCTGGGTCCACAGCGACCCCATTCTGCTGGGAGATGAGCCAGTTCTTCCCATCTTACTGTGTGTGGACCTGCTCTTCTAGCTGCTCTCAATCCTGGCTGTACACATGGGGAATTATAAAGCCCCTCATGCCTGTCTCCCCGCCTCCCCACCCCCTGATCACAGTAAAGTCAGAATCTCCAGGGCCGGGACCATATCATCAATATTTTTTTAAAGCAGCCCAGGTAACGTGAATGTGCAGCCAGGGTTTAGCCTCACAGCTCCAGTCCTTACTCCTCAGCCCCAGGAAGAGAAGCAAGAAGCGAGGGGTAATGGTAGAATTTTGAAGCAAGGGGTTGGACTTCTACCTGTGAACATTCTGGGACAGCACCGATCACGAGAACTTCCCACAGTCATTGAAATGGTCCGTATCTGAGCTGTCCAGTGTGGAGCCCACCAGCCACACCTGGTGAGTGGGCACTTGCGCTGGCTACTAGTGCAACGTAGGAAGTGAATTTCTTTGATAATTTTTAATTAATTTAGACATAAATAGCCACCAGTGGCTAATAGCTACAGACTTGGACAATGTCACTTGGGAAAGTTACTGAACACCTAGAAACCTCATATCTGTAAAATAGGGACGAATAAGAGTTCCTTCGTTGGGCCGTTGTCAGGATTAGAGATAAAGTATATTAAGTGCCTGGTGTGCACAAGGCAGTCAATAAAGTGACGCTTATTTCCTATTAACATCAGCCTTTCGTTCCCAAAAAAGAAAAGAAGAAAAAAGCTTGCCTGGCAAAATGAGTGCTCAGAAGCACCCCACCACGGAGACAAAAAATTCTAAGCTGTTCCAGAAAAATCCTTGGAAAATATTCCTTAATTGTCAAGTTCAATTGCAGCCGGAGGTTATCAGTTGCAAGGGCTGTATTTCATTACAGATCTTGCCACAGCTCAATAAATTAAGCAATCACTCACAATAACATGTTGCTTTAATCCCCTCTTGGACCAGTTTCAGGTTGTTGGGTTTGTGTATCAGCACAGCCCTTGAAAGGCGGCTCACATTGGCCTCGTTTCTTCTCCCTCAATTCATCAGCTCCTCTTTGCGCCTCCTGACCAGCAGGAGGGAGGACTGGAGGCAGAGCAGACCTCCTTTTATCAAAACTGGAGCGTTTTCCATCTTCTGGCCTTTCCAGGATCTGCGTTTCATTCGCTGAAATTACTGGCAGGTTTATCTGCAACGAAGACAGAAAGCGACACCGCTCAGCAGCCCAGACCTGGATGCGGAAAGCTAACTTGCCGCCCCTTTTCCATTCTCGTCGTCTCCCTAGCGGTTTATAATCTCACAGTCGAATTTCATTTCCCCTAGAAACTTGGCACCAGAGGTGTTGGGCCCGGGAACATATTTGTTTGTGTAAATTAACAGAAAAATATGTTTTGTCCATATTTAAGTTCTAACTGTACTAAAGATATAAATACTGGATTACACAATGCTTCTCGCTGCACGGGCCTGGCTCACCTCCCGAGAGAGAGAGAGAGAGAGAGAGAGAGAGAGAGATCCACTTCTGGGAATGTATCCTATGAGTACACTCAACATATGCCAAAGAGCATATAGTTTTCAACAACAAAATCCTGGAGTTAACGAAAATGTTGGCCAGTATGGGACAGTTAAGTAGATGCTATGCTAGAAGTCCCTAGAAAAGGACAGTTAAGGAGATGCAATGCTAGAAATCACTAGAAAGAATGAGGTAGGTCAGAGGGCTGTCCTATCTTCAGAATATATTGTATGCAGCCTGGCCGGCATGGCTGAGTGGTTGAGAGTCGACCCATGAACCAGAGGGTCACAGTTTGATTCCTGGTCAGGGCACATGCCCGGATTGCGGGCTTGATCCCCAGTGTGGGGTGTGCAGGAGGCAGCCAATCAATGATTCTCTCTCATCATTGATGTATAGTTCTCTCTCTCTCTCTCTCTCTCTCTCTCTCTCTCTCTCTCTCTCCCTTCCTTTCTAAAATCAATAAAAACATATTTTAAAAAAGAAAAAGTGTATGCACTTGAATATACTTAGAAAATTTGTGAAGATTATGTAAACTGCCTACAGTGGTTACTTTTTAGAAAATGCAACTGGAGTTCAAGAAAAATTGAAAAGGGGCTCCTTTATTTCCCACGTATACTCTTCTGTACTATTTTTATCCTAAGCCTGCTATGATTTCTTTTAATTGGGATAATTAAAAAACAAAATGGTGCTCTAAAAATCATGTTCACACTCTGATTGGAGCGACATAATATAACAATAATACTCTTTTCATTACGTGTCTGTCAGGCCAGTGGAGTGGTGGTGGGAATCTTTGCTTTTTCTGTGCTTTGTGCAAATAACCAGTAGTGGGCTGAATGGTGGTCCCAGAGAGCTAAGATATATCCACTTCCTAATCCCCGGAGCCTGTGAATGTTACCTACTGTGGCAATATGGCAAAGACGTGACTAAGTTAAGGGTCTTGAGAGGAGTTGTTGATCCTGTGTTATCCAGATGGGCGCTAAATGCATCTCACACGCACCCTTGTAAGACAGAAGCAGAGACAGACACAGAGAGGAAAACGGATAAGACAGAGGCAGAGACTGGAGTGATGTGGTCACAACTCAAAGGATATCAGAGCCACCAGAAGGTAGACGAGGCAAGGAACGGATTTTCCCAGAGCACCTGGGTGGGAGGTGGGGGTGGTGGGGGTGGGGAGAGCATAGCCCTGCCCGATTTTGGATCTCTAGCCTTCAGAACCGTGAAATAACAAATTCCTGTTGTGTTAAGCCACTTAGTTTGTAGTACAATTGACACTTGAACAATGCAGGGGGTAGGGGTGCGACCTACTGCACAGTCGAAAATCCGTGTTTAACTTTTGACTCCCCAAAACTTAGTTGTCCTCAGTATCCATGGGCATTGGTTCCAGGGCCCCCTATGGATACCAAAATCTACAGGTGTTCAAGTTCCTTGTATCAAACGGCATAGAGCAGCGGTTCTCAACCTGTGGGTCGCGAACAATGAAAATACATCCTGTATGTCAGATATTTACATTACGATTCATAACAGTAGCAAAATTACAGTTATGAAGTAGCATCGAAAATAATTTTATGGTTGGGGGTCACAACGTGAGGAACTGTATTAAAGGCTCGCGGCATTAGGAAGGTTGAGAACCACTGGCGTAGAGCAATGCATACAGTCGGCCCTCTGCATCTGTGGATGCCCAACCACAGATTGAAAACAGTACAGGTACTTACTGGGGAAAAAATGTGTAAGTGGACCTGTGCAGTTCAATCCATGTTGTTCAAGGTTTAGCTGTCATGTGTTATGGCCGCCCTAGGAAACGAATACATCACCGACTACACAACACCTGTAAAATGCATGACGTGCCTGGTTCTTTTAAGAAACAAGCTTGGTAAACCGTGGCTTTGGTGAACACAAAGAATTCATTCATTCATCCCAAAGATATTTATTGAGCATCTACTAGGTGACAGGTAGAGTTCTAGGTGCTGAGGATACAGCAGAGAACAAAACAAAGATGCCTGCCCCCCTGGAAGTGGCATTTCAGTGAGAAGTAGTAAGTAAAATAAACGGAGCATAGGGAAGAACTGATAGTGGTAGAAGGTGCTAAAGAGGATAAGAAAGCATAGAAAAGGGAAGGGGACTGGGAGAATGCACTTTTCCCAGAAGGTGACATTGGAGTAGAGGAAACCAATACAAAACTTGACTTTCTTTCCGAGTCACCCACTGGTTGGACCAGAACAAATAGGAATGAGCACCCTTTTCTCCCCTCCATCTCTCTTCCCTGCCTCCCTCCTTCCCGTGCTGCTCCCTGCCTGTGAGTGCCAGCAGCTGCGGTGCAAAGATGAGTGAGACCGGAGCCCCCATGCTCA